ATACAGGTGAGCCCATTGCCACTCCATCTACTTGCATGTAGAACTCTTCTTTCCACAATAAATAGCCAGATGTGAGGCAGTGTTTGAGTAATACTGCATATTCTGTAGGCATGTTGTTATCTTCTAGCTTTCTAGTAACAATTGAGATGCAGTCTTCAATAGGTAGGCATGTGAATAGTGACTGAACATCAAAACTGACCATAGTTTCATTGTCAGCGAGATGTAGGTCTTTAATCTCACTAACAAATTGGTATGAATCCTTTGTGTGTGCTCTGGTATGTCCTCTTAGTGGTGACAGTATTTTCGCCAAGTGTTGAGCCAACTTATAAGTTGGTGAATCGATCTGGTTTACTATAGGACGTAGTGGAGCGTTTGGTTTGTGTATTTTCGGTAACCCATACAACCTCGGTGGTTTGGCACATGATGGTATTGTCGAATTCACGTCAAGATTTAATTTTTCGGAGTATTTCTTTTTTTTGAAGAAATACTCCGAAAAATTAAAAAAAAAAAAAAATTAAATCTTGACGTGAATTCGACAATACCATCATGTGCCAAACCACCGAGGTTGTATGGGTTACCGAAAATACACAAACCAAACGCTCCACTACGTCCTATAGTAAACCAGATCGATTCACCAACTTATAAGTTGGCTCAACACTTGGCGAAAATACTGTCACCACTAAGAGGACATACCAGAGCACACACAAAGGATTCATACCAATTTGTTAGTGAGATTAAAGACCTACATCTCGCTGACAATGAAACTATGGTCAGTTTTGATGTTCAGTCACTATTCACATGCCTACCTATTGAAGAATGCATCTCAATTGTTACTAGAAAGCTAGAAGATAACAACATGCCTACAGAATATGCAGTATTACTCAAACACTGCCTCACATCTGGCTATTTATTGTGGAAAGAAGAGTTCTACATGCAAGTAGATGGAGTGGCAATGGGCTCACCTGTATCTCCCGTAGTCGCCGACATATTCATGGAGGACTTTGAGGAGAAAGCCCTTCTTACTGCTCCTGTAAATCCAAGATTCTACAAGCGGTACGTAGACGATACTTTCACAATTTTACCATCTGACAAAGTAACTGCATTTTTAAACCACCTTAATTCCATAAACCCTAAAATACAATTCACAATGGAGTTAGAGGCAAACAATACTTTAGCTTTTCTAGATGTTTTAGTCATCCGAAATCCTGATAACACTATTGGTCATACTGTGTACAGAAAAAATACCCATACCAACCGATATTTAAATGGTGAATCACACCATCATCCTTCACAGTTAGCTACCGTGGGAAAATCTTTGTTTCAGAGAGCACGAGGGATCTGTGACAGAAAACATCTGGCCGCCGAGCTTCAGCACGTCGAGCAAGTACTGCAAGACAACAAGCTTCGGGTCCCGCGCCTACGTCACAGTGACCGAGTGAAGCCAGCCACAGTCGAGCGTGTGCCTGCTGTACTACCCTATGTCAGAGGAGTCACAGACAAGGTTGGCTACATCTTGAAGCGAGCTTCCATTAAAACGTACTTCAAGCCGCTGAAGAAGATTGGTCAATTTTTACCATCCGTCAAGTGTCATATCCCTCTACAAGATGCAGGAGTGTACAAGCTGGATTGTGAATGTGGTCTCTCGTACATAGGACAAACAAAAAGATCTATTAAAACCCGCGTTAAAGAACATATAGCTGACGTGAAGCACCGACGTATCGGGAAGTCTGCAGTTTGTGAACATGTTCAGGATCGTCCCCGTCATTACATTAGATTTGATAGACCACAAATCCTCGCAAAAGAACACCGATTCCTCCCAAGGATGATTCGCGAGGCTATTGAAATTAAAAAACATCCTAATTTCAATAGAGAAGATGGATGGGTGCTGCCATCTGCTTGGGATCCCATAATTAATAAAATCAAATCCAAACCCAAGTATACCACTGCTAGACTTCAAGATACTGTAAGCTCATTCTGCGTAAATCGAACCAAAAATTAATATTAAAAAACTGAAGGTAGCCGGGCTAACTATGACAGCAGGACGTCAAACAACTCAGTCCCCCGTGACCACGGGTGCTGGAAAGCACCCGAAACGTCGGGAATATAAAAATAAGTTAATATACGCGATAAAATCCGTAAAATTAGTTTTATTTAAAAAAGACTATTTTAAATTCGAAACTCGTTATGAACTACTTTTTGTAATAAGTAATAATACAGATCATGTACGTAATAATTCTTTTATGCCACTTACACAAAAATAATAAAATAAATCTTCATTTAAACGAATTCCTATTAACTTGTTAATAAGATATTCAAAAGCTCTCTAATTCCTTAAAACTTCGGATATTATTAAAACGTAATTAAGTTGCCAGCTCCTCAGCAAGTTTTAACAAGATTCCTTTTTCGATATTGATATAGATTCATCTTCGGCGGGCTGAAACGTTAAATCTTGATTAAAACATACATGACGGCATACTAAATGTTACTTATTGATTTATAAGCAACAAGAATACAATAGTTTTCTTCGGACTATGAAGGTCGCTATTTACTTACTGAGTGTGTGAATTAGAGCATCCTTGCATTAAATTAGGCCGATAAATAAAAGTCACTCGTTTAACGACACTATTTATTTTACGAATCCGACACGTTTACATTTATGGTTGAAATCTGCACTTAATTACAAACGGGCGCATCGGCGAGACTCTAGAGACGATTGCCTGCGTGGGGGTTGCGCAGTTGCAGTTAGTCTCAGGTTACATATTAATATTGTCATGTCGCTACAGAACTATTTCTTTATCGCAATTACAGACATCTTAAAAGTATCCACTGCTCCATGGCTCAGTGGTTTGCCATTGAGTTACTGTGCAGAGAGCCCCCGTTTTGAATCTCGCATATTTGTGTGGCCCACAAATAATTGTTCCGGGTTTGAATATTTATTCTTGTCCATGTGTTTGTAAACATACATATACATATAATCACGCCTCTTTCCCGTAGGGGTAGGCAGAGATCACTTCTTTCCACTTGCTACGATCCTCACATACTTGTTTCGCTTCGTCCACTTTCATTATTCTCTTCATACATGCTCTACGGTTTAGGGTGCTTTTGACCTGACCTTTTTGCAAGACGTCCCTGATTTGGTCTTGAAATATCCTCTTAGGTCTACCCCTTCTAGCACTTCTATACACACTCGCCTTATACACTTTTTTCGTCAATCGTTCTTCATTCATTCTCTCGACATAGCCAAACCATCTCAGCATACCTTTCTCAATTTTTGTCACTACATCTTCTTTCAGACTATAACGTTTCCTTATCTCACTATTTCTTATCCTGTCACTCAGTTTAACTCCTATCATACTTCTTAACACTCTCATCTCAACTGCATTTATTCTGCTTTCGTGTTTCTTCTGCCATACCCAACTTTCACTTCCGTACATGAGTGTCGCAACCAACACCCCCTCATGCACAGCCAAACGAGCCTTGTTAGACACCTTCCGACTGCTCATAAAGGAGTGCAAAGCTCCATTCACCATGTTTCCTGCATTCACTCTTCTTTCGATATCACTCTCACACTTTCCATCTCTTGTAAACTTTGAACCCAGATACACAAACTCTTTCATCTGTTCAATTTGTTCATCTCCAATCACGATATTGCAGTCTGTCACTGCCTCATCTCTCTCAAACACCATCACTTTCGTCTTTCTTACATTCATCTTCATTCCCTTCCTAACAACAGCTCCACTCATAGTAGTTACCATCTCCTGCAACTCCTCGGCCGAAGACGCATGTAATACTTGTTCATCACCATAGAGAAAACATTTGACGAGTAACTCATTCATTTTCAACCCGTTTTCATTCTGTTTTAAATCTGTCAAGCAATTGTCCATGAACAGATTAAACAGCCACGGCGACGCTACGCATCCCTGTCTAACACCTTTTTCGATATTAAACTATTCAGTTTATGCTCAGTTTATCCATACACAAGCACTAGAATTCCTTTAAAGAGATTGCAATGCTCGTACGAGGATACTTCTCACACAGTTCACGGACAGTGCTAACCACAATTCATTCCTCACTACTCTATCATAGGCCTTATCTAGGTCCACGAACGCGCAATAAAAATAAACCTTCTTGTTTTTAGCCAAACACTTTTCGGCTATGCACCGCAAGGAAAAGACCTGATCCGTACATCCCATTCCATTTCTAAATCCCGCTTGTGCATCCCATACTTTTTCATCTGATTCATTCACAACCCTTTCAATCAACACTTTCGCATACAATTTACCGACGACGCTGAGAAGGCTTATACCGCGGTAATTTATGCAGTCCTGCCGTGACCCTTTTCCCTTATACAAAGGCACGATTACGGTACAGCTGACTAGCCACTATGCTCTGTCCAGCCCTCAGCATCTAGACGGTAATCCTGTCATACCCTGCAGCCTTACCTACTTTCATACTTTTCAACGCTTTCACTATTTCATCCATGCTTATCTCACTTTCATCAACATTTATATTAGTTTCTATGAAAGGTGCCCGATGCTGTACCTGCACTTCCTCTCTTTCAAACAAACTTTCAAAATACTCTTTCCATCTCTTTAACACACATTCTTCTCCTTTTATAATGCTGCCATCTTGACTCCTGATTGTACTCAGCTCCGAGGTATAAGTTTTTACTCTGGCTGTTTTGATGGATTTCCAGAAAAACTTAATGTTTCAATGGAAATCTTCAGTGAGCCTCCTATCGAAATCATCCTTTCTTTCTTCTTTCTTTCTAGACACAACTTCTTTCGCTGCTGCTTTACATCTTTTATACTTCGTTTTTGCTTCCTTTATCTCGTCATCCGTTGCCTTTTGAACTTTTTGGTTAGCTTTTGTTGCTAACCAATCCAACCACGCTTTTTTCTTTTCTTGCACAACCCTTTGTACATCTTTATCCATCCACACGTTATAGTTCTTTCTTCCTTTCTTTCTTTTAGCTACCCCGCATACCTCAATAGCAACATTCACGACCCCTTTCTTAAATGTCTCCACAAATCTTCAATCACACCTATCTCTTCTATGCCTATAAAACTTTCTTTCAGTTTCTTTACATACTCATCCTTATTTTCTTTTTTATGTAGATTTTCCACTTTTACTCCGTCCAGAAAACTCGTAAGCTCGGCCCCTCGGTGTTGCCACCATTTAAAGAGGGCACGCATTCGGGCTATGACCAGGAAGTGGTCTGTGTCGAGGTTTACACCTCGGTATGCCCGAGTGTCTAACACCTTCTTCCTCAGTCTTGCATCCGCAATTATAAAATCAATCATACTTCTAAACTCACCCTCATCTCTTGTATACAAATGGATCTTTTTGTGGTCAAACATTGTGTTGGCCACGCACAAATTCCATTCCCATTCCAAACATACTTCAAGCAGGTTTCTCCCATTGTCATTCACTCTCTCGTCCCCAAACGTACCCAGAACTCCTACATACCAATCACGCTTTACTCCAACCCATCCATTAAAGTCCCCTAACATCACGATCCGTTCATTTTCTCCGCATTTATTCAAGACCTCTCTCATGCTATCCCAAAATTACTCTCTTTCGTGTTGGGATTTTAATGACCCACCTCCACGAAAACCCATCGGTGCATAGACCCCAAGCATAAACAAGCGAGTGAGTCCGACTTTTAACCTAATCCAGAGGAGTTTTGGGCTTACACATTCATGCTCCATCACACATTCAACCATTCGAGATGAAAGAATCACACCAACTCCCTGACAGCCTCGGCTGGTTTGGGGGACTCCAGACCAGTATGCCGTGTGGGGGCCATGAACCGTGGTGTCACATCCTTTCCTCTTGGTTTCGTTCACGCACAGAATGTCAATGCATCGTTCATCCATCACCTAACATACTTTATCTATCTTACCATCCATTCCTCATCTAACATTCAACGTAGCGAAGCGGCTCTCCGTTTGTAAACTGCCTCCATAATACAGAAAAAAATCCTAGTGTGGGGGTAATATTTCCTAAAAATTAATAAAAATAATCTATTAGATACACCACATCGTCCCGTAAATGTTATTAGATGCGAGGATGCGACAGAGATAAATAAAACAGAAGATGGGCAGCAACGCCTTTCCGATAAGAAAATAATAAAAAAACTGCAGTTGTTAACCCACCAACCGAGCGTGGCAACTAAGACATTAAGGCCCCATATGAGGCAATCTTTGGGTGAGGTGTTTTTCCTGCAGTGGAAGCTAGGCTGCAATGGCTGATGATAACAGAAAAAATGTAAATGCGTTGTCACGCCTCTGGAATAAGAGAGTATACCTTGTTACCACTTAAAAAGTTTGGACATCCTCGCTCCTGATTTTATTTAACAGCATTCACTAGGATGGTAGCATTTAAGTTCTCAAAAATCACATGAGAGTTAATCTTTACACTATAATACTACATTAGGTGTAAACAAACAGGAGATTAGCTAATTTTAAATGCAGGTGATGCAGATGCCTTAACTGTGAGTAATTAAGAATAAGAACAATTAAACGTAAAATCAGTAACTCACTCATTGGTTTTTTGATATTTTGACTATCACAAACCCGAGTAAATAACGCACCACTACCTGTCTAAAAATGTATGTAATCTGTTTTGAGGTCGAGAATCACTCGACGCTTTGATTTAAACAAAGAGGGATAAAGGAATTATAAAGGGATATAGTTATTACACATTCCGTATGTAATACCAAAATCGTAGATGTCTCTAAAAACGGTGCTTTTCATAATAAAGTCAATACTTTCAGTTCAGCCCTCCATCCAATAACCGAGACAAGCACGACAAGTAGCTATCACTGTTATGAAAATTGAACTAAAATAACAATACACAATTGTGTGCTTGTTGAGAAAATGTTCATGAATACATGTATTTCTGAAAAGAATACTGATTATTTGAACTGTATTCTTCAAACAGACTTATTATTTTAGAACGTAGCTGAGATCAAAGCTGGCTTTGTTTTTGAATAGCATTCAGTCTAAGAACATGGAAGTTGAAAACCAAAAATCAACCAAAAGCAAACGGTCTATCAAAAGTTCACCGCTGAACATAGATTGTTATTGTATATATTGTATTTGTTATATCATTATTTTGATTTGTTGCAGGAAAGACACTGCTGTAAATCTCCTCTTTTTTTTATTCTGGCCATTTTATTTTCCTTTTATTCTGGCCCCTCTTACAACACCCTTGGGATTATATGTGGTAATAGATTCTCTTAAACTATGTTGTATGAAGAAAATCTACTACATGAATTTACACGGAAAAGAGTTAAACATTTAAAGCGAAACGGTATAATAAAGAAGATATTTTCCTCCGCATGTCGTAGCATCACACGCTACTTATGAAACACAACTAAAGAAAGCTCTGGCGAGCCAATTAAGGCAAAAATCCGTTGTAACACACCGAAGCCATTTACCAAAGACTGGTGATGCGGATTACCATTTTTTAGAATAGAATAGAATAGAATATTTTTTATTCAAAATTGATTATTACATAATTCTTATTGAAAGTCATTTTTATTTACCACTGGTTCGGAAAATACCTCTGTCCTGGGAAGAACCAGCAAGAAACCTAGCGGGACTTTTTTATTTCAAACATATTTCCCTTAACAGTAATTTCATACAACTTTTAAATGATTTTTCATAGAACTAGCATGGTGGCGATCACCTTATTCCCAGGGGTTATTTTCATTCATGATTTCCTTGATATTATAATAACCCTTTTTGTACAGTTTTTCTTTAATAAAACTTTTAAACTTGTTTATTGACAAACTTTGAATATGTCCTGGGATTTTGTTGTAAAAGCGTATACATTGACCTATAAATGAATTACTGATTCTGTGGAGTCTAGTAACTGGTATTACAAGCTTATGTTTGTTTCTAGTATTTAAAGTACACACATCCTTATTCATATTAAAGATATTTATGTTTTTATATTGCGATGCCAAAGTTAATATGTTTGTTTCTTAAAATTTTTGTCTGAGGGACTCATTACCAGTACAGATTTGGTGGCATTGAATTGGTTAGTCTCTGCATTAACTAATCCAGTATAGGCTCTGGTTTCTTATTTGGTGGTGAGTTATAAGCAAACATATTAAATATTTTTAAGAAATGTTTTTTCATCATCATCATTCATTATCATTACAGCCCTTCACAAGTCCACTGCTGAACATAGGCCTCCCCCAAAGAATGCCACAAAACACGGTCCTGAGCCACCTGCATCCATCGACTTCCTGCATGTCTTACCAGGTCGTCACTCCATCTCGTGGGGGGACGCCCTACACTTCGCCTACCGGTACGAGGCTGCCACTCGAGAACCTTTCTTCCCCATCGGTTGTCGGTTCTTCGAGCTATATGGCCAGCCCACTGCCACTTCAGCTTACTAATCCGTTGGGCTATGTCGGTCACTCTGGTTCTACTGCGGATATCCTCATTCCTAAGTTTATCACGCAGAGAAACTCCGAGCATAGCCCTCTCCATAGCTCGCTGAGCGACCTTGAGCTTCCTCATACGGCCAGCAGTGAAGGACCACGTCTCAGTTCCGTAAGTCATCACTGGCAACACGCACTGGTTGTACAATTTCGTTTTAAGGTTTTGAGGTATGTCTGACGAGAAGATGTGTCGTAGCTTCCCGAACGCTGCCCAGCCGAGTTGAATCCGTCGATTGACCTCTCGGTCGAAGTTGGACTTACCCAGTCGGACTATTTGTCCCAGGTACACATACTCGTCAACAACTTCGAGCTTAGTGTTCCCAACAACTATCGGCATAGGTGTGACATGGACATTAAACATGATCTTAGTTTTGTCCATGTTCATCTTAAGACCTATCCGTTGGGAAACACTATTGAGGTCATTGAGCATAGTGCTTAGGTCCTCCAGCGATTCTGCAATAAGGACTATATCGTCGGCAAATCGAAGGTGAGTGATGTACTCGCCATTGATGTTGATACCGTATCCTTTCCAGTCCAGAAGCTTGAAAACGTCTTCCAATGCAGCGGTGAAGAGTTTCGGGGATATGACGTCACCCTGTCTTACACCTCTCTGCAATTGGATAGGTTTCGTACTCTGGTTCTGTACTCGGATAGCCATCGTAGCCCTACTGTACAAGCACTTCAACACTTCGATATACCGACAGTCAACTTGGCACCGCTGAAGGGACTGCAGCACCGCCCAAATTTCGACGGAATCAAAGGCTTTCTCATAGTCCACATACGCCAGACATAGTGGCAAATTGTACTCTTCGGACTTCTGTACAACTTGCCGAAGGGTATGTATGTGGTCTATGGTGCTAAAGCCCTTTCGGAAACCGGCTTGTTCGGGAGGCTGGAAGTCGTCAAGTCTGCGCGCGAGACGATTCGTAATGACTCTCGAAAACAGCACGTAGACGCGGCTCAGAAGGGAAATCGGTCTGTAGTTCTTCAAGAGAGCGTTGTCACCTTTCTTGAAGAACAAGACCACCGCACTTCTGCTCCACGCCTCCGGTGTAATGCCACCATGGAGGACGGAATTAAAGAGCTTCTGAAGGACTTCAAGTACCGGTCTTCCACCCGCTTTCAGAAGCTCCGCTGTAATTCCATCCTCGCCTGGGGCCTTACCGTTTTTAAGGTGCTGGAGAGCCATCCTAATCTCGCTCAGACTGACATCCGGGATATCTTCGGAATAGTGTCGGATGAGACTCGCTCTTGGATCGTTACTCACACTTGCGTGTGGCTCCAACGATGACGTGTACAGCTGCCCATAGAACCTCTCAATCTCACTCAAAATCTCAGGTGTCCCGGAAACGATGCTGCCACACTCTGTCTTCAGCTTTGACAGTTGGCTCTTTCTGGCAGACAGATCTCTGGCTAAGACTTTGGAGCCTTGGTTCCGCTCGATCGCTTCTTCAATACGAGCTGTATTGAAGTTGCGTAAGTCCCGCCGCATGCATTTGGAGATCTGTCTGTTCAGATGCCTGTATGCTGTCAAGTCTGTTGAAGAATGTAGCTTCATCTCCCGTCTAACAGCCATGAGATTAAGAGTGTGATCGGAGAGTTTTTGTGTTTCTGCGGCGGGTCTTGCAGAACTTAGCTCCAACCGCATGGACAGTTTCCACGAGCTTGTCATTCATATCGTCCACTTCATTTCAGTCTTCTAGGCACTGAAAACGGTTTTGTAACTCGAGCTGAAAGGTTTCGGGACTTTGAAACAGAGAACGAGGGGGACGGAGCGTTGACTTCATTAGACGAGACCTCTCCAACTTAACGTTTAGGTTCAGTGTGCCTCTAACCATTCGGTGATCGCTACCAGTTTTCACCCTCGCGATCACGGAGACATCACTGAACAGTTGTCGTCTGGTCGTCATAATGAAGTCAATCTCATTTTTTGTGGAACCGTCGGGGCTCGACCAGGTCCACTTCCTGTGGGGCCGCTTCTGGAAGAAAGAGTTCATCATAAAGAGCCCCTCTTTCTCCATGAAGTCGGCCAGCTGCTGGCCCCTTGGGTTCCGTTGCCCTATTCCAAATTTCCCTACTTTCAGCTCACCGTTCTCTCTT